TTTGCTGATAAAGATTGACTGATGCAGCATTTGATTTGATTTTCCTTACCTAAGAGATAAGTTTTGAGAAAAGGGATTATGTTTTATTTAAGAGATGGCGATAAACTATTAAATTTGTTTTTACCTACTGGGATGAAAAAAGAAGTTACCGTATCTCTGCTTTCTTTTTCTTTTCTTTCTTTTCTTTCTTTTCCTGTTTCACCTCCCAATTCCCCTTTTGTATTTTATATTTACATTTTTTGTAGTTTGTATTGACTTATGTTATTTACATGAATTATTCTTAATAAAATTATTTGGAAAAAAAGCTTCATAGAAACCTTTGGAATAAATACAATCTTTATTCAACAGCAGTGTTTTTTTTTCCTGTTAGAAATGTCCTATCAAATTGTTCTTCAGGACTGCCATTTCATTAGTTCTTCAGTGTGCAATAAGAATTATACAACTATTACTACCTAGAGTCATTGATAAAATAATCCTTTAACAAATAATCTCTTTTAATATTTCTGCATCTGATTTGCTTCTATCAATGGAATTGATAAGTTAGTGTAATGGGTTTTATACATAGTATTTAAATGAAACCAGTGGAAAACTGGGATCAACTTTTCCAATTCTAATCATAACATTTATATCCTGATCTTTCTTTTTGGAAAAAAACTACATGGTGATTACCGTGTTTCTCATATAATAAGGCCAGGTCTTATTATTTTTTGAGCCCCGAAAAAATGGCTAGGCCGTCTTTTCGGGGGTGACTTAATTCCCCCTCTTGCATCTTAGGGCAGGCGGCGACGGCTTGGATGTTGACCTCGCCGTTGGTGGGGCAGTTTGTATCAGGGTCAACGCAGGCAGCACCATAAGTGGGTGTGCAACAAAAGTAATTCCTAACAGCAAGCCCCCCCGCCATTTCCCCCCCATTTCACATGTTTTAATATAGGCCTTAATTTGGGGGGGAGGGGCTTAATTTCATTTCATGACTATAAAACATGCTGGGACTTCCTATTGGGGGAGGCCGTATTGTTGGAGAAACAGGGTACATTCATTTAAACCCCAGTTTCCCTTTAATTACGATAAGGGTTAAAATTTCTAAAAACATAAATATCTTGAAATTATGTGATGTGGAACACCAGCATCAAATGAAAATGGTGTCAGCTGTAACTCAATCAAGAGCATTCTCTTACCTGGTCATGTGTACCAAGAATGTCCTTTCTCATGTCACCATACAGAAATTTGGTGGGAGGCGCATGAAAAATAGGACAGTAGGATCCTAAACAGGACCTTATAGCAATGTAGATTTCCTACAGCTAGTCTCTAAATACCAGCAGATCATGACCCTGTTCTGTTATATAAAAAGTACATTCTCTCCATACTTGTGTAGAGCTTCCAATTTGAAGGCAAACAGTGTATTATCAGCAGTTCTTTAGGCCAAGTGAGATCCACCCCCCACCCGGAAAAAGATGCATCTGATATTTAAGGAACTAAATATGAGGGGTGTGCTCCATGAGCATTGTACAGCCTTCCTTCCCTAATTACTTTCCTAATTATTGAATGAAACTCAGCCATTCACAGTGCCTCTAATTTACTGAGTTTCAGTTTAGTTATTGTTCTTCATTTAGCTCACCTTCATTTCCCTAGGCTGATCCTGATGACTTAGATGATGCATAGAAATTACCAAAAAAGAGATGCTTTATTCATGCATTGTGCACATTTATCTACTGTATATATTAAATATATCTATTGTATATATATTAACACTCTCTTTCCTGTAACATTTATTTAACTAAGTAAAACAGTGCAACTTGGACAAAACCCTTTGAACCAAGGAACCTCAAATGGTCTAATCTACAAAATGTGTCCAAAATCTGGGACACAGGACTAGCTGGAATTGAAATTTGCAAATTTTATAAAATATTTGTTCAATGAAGAATATGTGCATTAACTTCTTTTAACTGTGCTTACAGTGTATCTGCTAGAATCACCCGAGAAGTGGCTTTGTAGAATTAAAACAGCTTTTTTTTTTAAAGCAGAAAAGCTATTTCCATATATATATACTATTAAATTACAGTTTTAGTAAGCTCTGTTATTCAGAAAATTGAAAAATTACTTTTGAAGGTAAATATCCCAAACTTGAAGTGTTACAATTTAGCAAAACAAAATAATAGGGAGAACTTTGTATTTCTATAAAATGGTAGTTCATATAATAATTTTACTGATGTCATTTCACTGATAGGAATGACATGGAATTATTAGCATTGTTAACTTCATATTGTCTTTGAATTATTATTGTTGTTATTATTATTATTATTATTATTATTTTAGTTTTTAAGTGTATCTGAAAACCTAATTTTACTTTTGCTGCATTTCAGTGTTTTTATTCTTCATGTAAGCTTTGAGTGCTAAGGAATCTATGCTAAGTACATTCACCCAGATACTAATCCTAGCTAAACAAAACAAGCTCGCTCTCCTCCATCTTCATAATTACCTGTGAATTAGGGGAAGGGGGGTTGTCCTATATTGGCTGAGGAGATACTAGTATTAAAAACACATAATAGAAGGAAGTGAAAATGGCTGCAAAGCATTGAAAATTAACTTTTTTAGGGGAGTTGATGGCTAGTGGATTTTAAGCATCTCCTAATACCTAAATAGAACTTTTGTCACTTTTTATTTTATTGTTTCCCCTTTCTCTTCCCTTCCCAGTATAGCTAACCCATAGGAAATATGTTTCTGTGTACTTATTATATCTTTGGAGTGATTTTTGATAAATAGTTGCATACATAACGTACATAGAAATAGGCCATGTGATTGTCTTTTTGGAGGGGTTGAGTGGAAATTTTGCTTGATTTGGGAGCAGGCTGGAGTGGGCAATTCTGGGTTAGGGTTAGGGATTGTTTAATTCAAGAATCTTTATTACTGAATCTAAATATTTGAGGGGTACCCATTTTTATCTTTGAATGCTGTTGCTTGCTTTTCAGCAAGAAGGCTGTCATTGCTGAGGTGGGTTTTTCTTTCTTTCTAGGTACATGCGTGTTAATAAATTGGATTGTACTTGACAACAGGCCCATTTTACTTTTGAGCAAATTATTAATCCCAAACATTAGGATAAGAAAGTACCAATGTAATGTACCTTCTTGAGCATCTCAATTTGATAGTGATACTAGAAAGTATCAAGTTGCTTCTGCATTTTTTTCTGTTTCAAGCTACAGCAATCACAGTGTTGCTTGTTGAGGGCTTGTTTGAATTAACCACTAACCTTTCTGTCTGTCTAATTGTTATAGTGTTTTTATTATAAAAGGACTGCTAACACTTTTGCTTTTTCCATATAGAACATCTTCAAAGCTCTATGAGCATTTCATTTGGTGAACAAAATGTTTTAAAACTTCTATTTGTTGTTGCTTTGTTTAGTAAAGCTATTCATAATGTTCCTAAAAGTATGCAACTGCAGTTTATGTTACATTTGTTGAAACATTTTTATGTTGCATTTGTTGCTGTAGTTAATACTTCTCAAATTTAGAATCTGCTGGGAGAAGTAGAGAATGAAATTATTTATGTACACATCAAATTGCAGTCAATAGATGTATTATGTTACATTGTTAGCCTAAATATTGCATTGGGTTAAAATACTCTTATATAATTGATTGGGTAGATGTCATGAAGTTATTATCTTAAGGCTATTACAGTGCTCCTGGTTCCAATCCTGAGATTCCACATAATTGCTTTAAAAACTGACTGCCCCTCATAGTAAAAATCAATTTGGTTAGATTAATATGGAAAAGTGAAATAATTATTTGATGAACATTATTTACATACTTGAATATTTGGTTAAGATTATTGATTAAAATAGTTTAATCTAGTAAGGGCTTGAGATTTGTTCATGGTTGTTATACTATTTAATTGCTTAGATAAAATTAAATTATCAGAGTCTCTTAGCTATAGCATGTTATTACAACAAAAAGTCTGTTTGGTTCACACATATGAATTACGTTTTGTCAGAATTTAAAGTGGCAATCAGTTTGACTGCTTAAATTAAGCGATTATAAAAATTGAAAATGATTTATAAGGCTGTTAAAATAGTAATGCTGTGATTTTCCTAAAATTAATACAATTTAAGTATTAATTTTGAGAAATCTGAATTATATATGCTTAATTTTGCAGAATAACATAGAGAATAGAAGTTCTGGCACATTGAGCCTGGAGCAAAGCTTCCAACTTTTCTAATTTTCCATAAGTTCAACAGGAACAACGGTGTCATTCACAGTCCAATTTTTCTTCATGAGGGTTAAGAACAAGGGATTTGGGAAACAGCCAGGGCTACCAGGTTGCTTACTTTTCCATACCCAAATAAGTTCACCAGGTTTCCACCAACACCCATTCTGTCAAGTGATTGTTCACTCGTGGTTTATGGGAGTCATGCATCTTTTAGGATGATTAATTAACTTGACCAAATGCACCAACTTTCTGTGATCAGCACTAATTAAAACATTGATCTCACTGGAAATGAAATAACAAAGACATTTCTTGTAAAAATATACAAGGCTAAAAACAATAATAGCTTATTGTTCTGGTTTTTTGATGTTTAGAGTTCTCAAATTTAACTTTTCAACTTTTATTTTGACCAAGAATTTGTTTTTTTTATAGTACCACTACAATTGGAAAGCATTAAGAAATGTGGTAAAATGTGTGCGTCTGGAGATGATCTCTAGACACTGTCAAAGTAGTAATTTTTGCCTGTATTATATAATTTATATGTCCTCTGGTTCTTCAAAGATCTAAATATACTTTACATGAAAAACACTAAAATTTAAAACAGGATAGTCTCCAAGAAGTTTTAGTTTATTCTCTCCCTGTTATACTGTGAAAGTTTTCCAGTTTAATATTCTTGTACATATAGTACAAGTAGAATAACCCCTCTATTAGTATACTTTTTCTTCTTAGTGTAATGCAGTTAATCACATTTAAGCTTATTTTAATCAAAATGAATCAAATTGACTTTGTTTATTTCATTGCAGGATCTGGAATTCCATGGAGTTATGAGATTTTATTTTCAAGACAAAGCAGCTGGAAATTTTGCAACAAAGTGTATTCGTGTGTCTAGTACTGCCACAACTCAGGATGTGATAGAAACACTTGCAGAAAAATTCCGGCCAGATATGCGAATGTTATCATCCCCCAAATATTCACTTTATGAGGTGCACGTCAGTGGAGGTTAGTGTATTCTATTTGGGCTCTTAAAAAAAGAAATAACAGCAGGAGTGAAAAAAAGGCTTCATAAAGTACCTTGTTTAACTCAATTTCAGCAGTTAACATTTAAGAAAAAGAAATTGCTAGCTGGCAGTGATATACTAAAATTTAAGAATGTCAAAATATGTTACCAGTAAAAACATGTACAGTCAGAACATTCCAATACCTTAGTAAGTTTGTGGGCTCAAAAAGAATCTCAGCATATCTCATTGATGTAAATCTTACATTAAGTTTTGAAGGATTGGAAGCTTGTTCAGAGTTGGGTCATTTTAGGAAACATGCCTGGAATATTGGGATTGTGGCTATGAATACTTTTTTTTCCTAAAGGAGCAATTGCAATTCATGAGTGTACAATAATAGCATAATGATCATCTGAATCAGAGATATTCAGCAGGTTCTGACCAGTTCTGGAGAACCGGTAGCGGAGATTTTGAGTAATTCGGAGAACCAGCAAATACCACCTCTGACTGGAGATTTTACAGCATCTTTCCCCTGCCATGCCCACCAAGGCACGCCCACAGAACCAGTAGTAAAAAAATTTGAATCCCATCACTGATCTGAATGATTATGCTATAATAGTCCTGTATAGAGAGTCAGTCTAGTATAATAGCTAAGGTGCTGGCTTAGAAATCAGGAGTCTGAACTTCAGGCTTTTTTTTACATTTGAGATGACTTTGGGCCAGTCCCTTGCTCTCACCCTCACCTCACAGCTTTGCTCTTGTGGGGAAAATAAGAGGAGGGAATAGTATACTCCTTGAATTGTACACTGCTCAAAAAAATAAAGGGAACACAAAAATAAGACATCCTAGATCTGAATGAATGAAATATTCTTATTAAATGCTTTGTTCATTACATAGTTGAATGTGCTGACAACAAAATCACTCAAAAATTATTAATGGAAATCAAATTTAGCAACCCATGGAGGTCTGGATTTGGAGTTACACTCAAAATTAAGGTGGAAAACAACACTACAGACTGATCCAACTTTGATGTAATGTCCTTAAAACAAGTCAAAATGAGGCTCAGTAGTGTGTGTGGCCTCCCCATGCCTGTATGACCTCCCTACAATGTCTGGGCATGCTCCTGATGAGGTGGAGGATGGTCTCCTGAGGGATCTCCCCCCACACCTGCACTAAAGCATCCCCTACATCCTGGACAGTCTGTGGTGCAACGTGGCGTTGGTGGATGGAGCGAGACATGATGTCCCAGATGTGCTCAATTGGATTCAGGTCTGGGGAACGGGCGGGCCAGTCCATAGCATCAATGCCTTCGTCTTGCAGGAACTGCTGACGCACTCCAGCCACATGAGGTCTAGCATTGTCTTGCATTAGGAGGAACCCAGGGCCAGCCGCACCAGCATATGGTCTCACAAGGGGTCTGAGGATCTCATCTCGGTACCTAATGGCAGTCAGGCTACCTCTGGCGAGTGCATGGAGGGCTGTACGGCCCCTAAAGAAATGCCACCCCACGTCATTACTGACCCACTGCCAAACCGGTCATGCTGGAGGATGTTGCAGGCAGCAGAACGTTCTCCATGGCGTCTCCAGACTCTGTCACGTCTGTCACATGTGCTCAGTGTGAACCTGCTTTCATCTGAAGAGCACAGGGCGCCAGTGGCAAATTTGCCAATCTTGGTGTTCTCTGGCAAATGCCAAATGTCCCGCATGGTGTTGGGCTGTAAGCACATCCCCCACCTGTGGACGTCGGGCCTTCATACCACCCTCATGGAGTCTGTTTCTGATCGTTTGAGCAGCCACATGCACATTTGTGGCCCGCTGGAGGTCATTTTGCAGGGCTCTGGCAGTGCTCCTCTTGTCCCTCCTTGCACAAAGGCAGAGATAGTGGTCCTGATGCTGGATTGTTGCCCTCCTACGGCCTCCTTCACGTCTCCTGATGTACTGGCCTGTCTTCTGGTAGCGCCTCCATGCTCTGGACACTACGCTGACAGACACAGCAAACCTTCTTGCCACAGCTCGCATTGATGTGCCATCCTGGATGAGCTGCACTACCTGAGCCACTTGTGTGGGTTGTAGACTCCGTCTCATGCTACCACTAGAGTGAAAGCACCGCCAGCATTCAAAAGTGACCAAACCATCAGCCAGAAAGCATAGGAACTGAGAAGTGTTCTGTGGTCACCACCTGCAGAACCACTCCTTTATTGGGGATGTCTTGCTAACTGCCTATGTTTTCCACCTGTTGTCTATTCCATTTGCACAACAGCATGTGAAATTGATTGTCAATCAGTGTTGCTACCTAAGTGGACAGTTTGATTTCACAGAAGTGTGATTGACTTGGAGTTCCATTGTGTTGTTTAAGTGTTCCCTTTATTTTTTTGAGCAGTGTATATAAAAAGGTGAGATGGTATTTAAACATTATCGCCTTCTGAAGTCATTTATGCTAAAGAAACAGTGAAAATGACCTGGAATTTTCAGCTGGCACAGATATGATAACCTTCCTCCTAACAGGAATAAAAAGGCTCATATGCAGTAAGTTTTCTTACAACTACAATTTATTTTGAGAAACCATTTAGAATACCAATATTTTTTATAAAACACTGTCTAATCCAAGGTTAGCAGAGTTAGAGATAGTGTTCCAGAATGAGCCATTTTATTTTATACCATTTGAAATGGAGCCTTCTTAAAGGTACTTTTCCTCAGGTAGGTGAAATTTGTTTATAAAAAAATAAAAGTGGACTTTCAGATTGACTTCTTAATCATTGTAGGAAGATCATAATTGAAAAAAGTGATTGGTGATAGAATTTTGTTATTATTTTGGATTCTCAAGGACAATCTTTAAGGTTTCAAAAAGATAAAAAATATTGGTATGACTTACTAAAATTCATGAGCTAAAAACAGAATATTTAATCCTCATTGTTTTACCACTTTATTGTGGGGAAAAATATTTGCTCTTCTGTTCTGCAAGTTGCTTAATTTATGTCTTTCACCTTTGTTACTATCTGCATTGGGGATTTTTTTAAAAAGTGATATTTTTATTCCTCTGAGATCAAGAATATTAGTGCAGTTTAATTAGCTTAAATAAGAGATAACTTGAGATAACTGTATAGTTCTTGTGATATATATGATTTAGTTTCATTATCTAATTTTGAGGAAGACAGTGATAAAATGAATGCTTCCAAGATCCCAGTTGGAAACAATAGATTGCAATTTATGGCAGTTGGTAAAGCTCGTTGTGGAGAGTTGCGTGATATAGACTTTTATATAAGGTTTCATTTTTTTTTAGTTTCAAAAAGAAAGAGCAAGAATATTTATTCAGTTAAGAGAAGAAATGGTTTTCTATGCATTTGGTGAGAAAGGTGTTTTGGCAAAAGAATATACACAGATACTTATGAAGTGGCCCTGCCCCATATGTCCCCAATTGTGAGGCCCTACTTATTAAGTTGGGCTCTAGGAATCAGTTGGGACTGTTGCTATTGTACCAAACACTCTGCTTCTTGGCAACCTCCCTATCTAAGCTGTTTGACTCCCCCCAAATTAGATTGGGCATTGGTAGAAGTTATCCTGAACGCCCTTTCTATCTATGCTGCGAGAGAGCCCAGGATGGGTTGACTCCTTCCTATGATGTCATTTAGTTGAGTCTGTACGAAGATATAAAATCCGGCCCCCGGAAGAGACCCCAGCTTTGGCGAAGATACTTGATAGACTGAAAGGTGTCTCTGAAAGCACAAATGAATACAGGAATATGACTTACCCTCTCCGGACGAATCAAGGGAGGGGCTGAGCTCTCTCACAGCATAGATAGAAAGGGCATTCATGGTAACTTCTACCAACGCCCATTCTCCTCCATGCTGCATCGAGAGCCCAGGATGGGACATACCAAAGCTTGCATGTCCATGGGTGGGTCCTTGTCCGGCTCATCACACCGATTGTTGAACCGCTCGTCTGCTGAAGGCTGAAGTTGCCAAGGCAAAGACATCCAGACGGTAGTATCTGATGAAAGGAGATGGAGATGTCCATGTGGCCACACGACAGATCTCCTTCAAGGGTGCTTGGGTTGCCCAGGCAGCTGAAGTGGCCGCGTTTCTGGTAGAGTGCACCGTCAGACCTCGAGGAACTGGAAGGGCCGCAGCTTTGTAGGCCTGCTCAATGCAAGATCTGATGCACCTGCTAATAGTAGGAGAAGAGGCCTTGTGCCCCAAGTGAGAAGGGAAAAGGAAACAGAATGGCTTCAGACTTCCTGAAGGAGGAAGTGCGCTTAATGTATATTCTAAGAGCCCTACCTACGTCTAGCGAGTGCCACTGCTGCTCTAAGTCATGGTGTGGGAGGGGGCAGAAGCCAGGCAACATAATGTCCTGGGACCTGTGAAACAGGTGTTAGCCCTTGGAATAAATGAGGGGTCCAGACTGAGGACAACCCTATAATCATGAAAGGAACAAAGGTCCTGTCTGATGAAAACAGCAGCGAGCTCGGATACCCGCCTGGCTGAAGTGATGGAAACGGGGAACACTACCTTCAGAGTCAGGAAACGGAGAGACACTGTTCTAAGGGGTTCAAAAGGGGGCTTTGTAAGGGCATAAAGGACCACATGAAGATCCCAGGAAGGATACCTGTGAACCATCGGAGGGTGCAGGTTGGAAGCCCCTTTTGAAAACCTGACTGAAGGGTGATGGGATAAGGAAGGAAGTGAACCCCATGAAAGAACTGAGGAGATGGCCTTAACTTGCCTGCGTAAGGTGTTGGGGGCCAAACCTTTCTCCAGATCATGCTGAAGGAACCTCTGCCAACTAGGCTAAAGCGGGAGAGAGAGACCCTCCCTAAGGTACCATCAGGAAGGGCCTTCCAGGTGGCATCATAGATGTGCCTTGTGGGAGGTTTGCAAGATGCCAGGATAGTGATGATGACCCTTTCAGGAAGATCAGCCACCTCTAGCCATTGCCGCTCAAGTACCACATGGTCAGCTTGAGCCACTGGGGCTCCGGGTGGAGCAGAATCCCCTGATGAAGGGA